TGTGCAAAGAGGCAATGGAGAAGCTCAATATCTTTAGCCAAAACAAGGCAGGTGCTGATTGTGGAACAGACTCAACTGCCCAGTTGAAACTGAAGATAATTAAAAGAAGTCCACAAGAGCCAAAATATGACATTGATTATATCCACCCTGAATTTACAGACCATCTAAAGAACAGATTTGACGCATTGAACACCAATGCCTGGAAACCAGAGAACTGTGGGATGACATCAAGAATGTCATCCATGAAAAAAGGAAAAGGTCATTAAAAAGACAGGAAATAAAAGACCAAAATGAATGTCAGAAGAGACTCTGAAACTTGCTCTTGAATGGAGAGCAACTAAAGCAAATGGAAGAAATTACAAGATAAAACAGCTGAATAGAAGATTTCAAAGAGTAGCTTGAGAAGATAAAGTCAATTTTTATAATGCAATGTACAAAGATATGGAGTTAGAAAACCAAAAGGGAAGAACACATCCAGCATTTCTCAAACTGAAAGAACTGAAGAAAAAATTCAAGCCTTCAGTTGCAATATTGAAATGTTCTATGGCCAAAATATTGAATGATGCAGGAAACATCAAAAGAAGATGGAAGAAATACACAGAGTCACTGTACCAAAAGGAATTGATCAATGTTCATCCATTTCAGGAGGTGGCAAATGATCAAGAACCAATTATATTGAAGCAAGAAGGTGAAGATGCACTGAAGGATTTGACAAAGAACAAGCCTCCAGGAATTGACAGAATACCCACTGAGATATTTTAACAAATGGATGTAGCACCGGGGGCACTCACTCATCCAAGCCAAGAGATTTGGAAGATAGCTACCTGGCCAACTGACTGGAAGGGATCCATATTTGTACCCATTCCAAAGAAAGGTGATCCCACAGAATATGGAAATTATCCATATTATGACATTTTTAATTACTTAATTTTATTATTAAGATATTAAACAATATAATTAATATCACTTGCAAGTAAAATCTTGCTGAAGATCATTCAAAAAATGATTGCCACAGTAAATTGGCCGAGAACTTCCAGAAATGCAAGCTGGATTCAGAAGAGGACATGGAACTTGAGAGATATCATTGCTGATGTCAGATGGATCTTGGCTCAAAGTAAAGAATTCCAGAAAGATATTTACTTATGTTCTATTGACTATGCAAAAGCATTCAATTGTGTGGATCATAACAAACTATGAATAACATTGAGAAGAATGGGAGTTCCACAACACTTAATTGTACTCATGAGGAACCTGGACATAGACCAGGAAGCTGTCGTTCAAACAGAACAAGGGGATACTGCATAGTTTAAAATGAGGAAGGGTATGTGTCAGGATTGTATCCTTTCACCATACTTATTCAATCTGTATGCTGAGCAAATAATCTGATAAGATGGACTCTATGAAGAAGAGCATGGCATCAGGATTGGAGAAAGACTCATTAATGGCCTGTGATATGCAGATGACACAACTCTGCTTCCTGAAAGTGAAGATGACTTGAAGTCCTTAATATGCAGATTAAAGACTAGCTTGTGCAGTATGGATCACACTTCAATGTAAAGAAAATGAAAATCCTCAACACTAAACCAATAAGCCACATCATGATCAATGGAGACAAGTCTGCAGTAAAAGATTTTATATTACTTGGATCCACAATCAACACCAATGGAAGCAGCAGTTAAGAAATCAGATGATGTACTGCACTGGGCAAATCTGCTGCAAAAGACCTCTTCAAAGTGCTGAAGAGCAAAGATATATCTCCTTGAAGACTAAGGTGTGCCTAACCCAAGCCATGGTCTTTTCAATCACCTTGTATGCTTGTGAAAACTGGACAATGAACAGGAAGACCAAAGAGTTGATGCTTTTGAGTTATGGTGTTGGTGAAGAATACTGAAAGTACCATGGAATGCCAAAATAATTAACAAAGCTGTACTGTACGAAGTGCAGCTGGAATGTTTCCTGGAAGTGAGAATAGCCAGACTTTGTCTCATCTACTTAGGTCATGTTGTCAGAAGGAACCGTTCTCCAGAGAAGGATATCATGCTTGATTAAATGGAGGTTCAGCACAAAAGGGAGAGGCTCTCAATGAATTGGATTGACACAATGGCTGCAATAATGGGCTCTGGTATATCAAGAATTGTGAGTTTGGCACTGGATTGAGCAGTGTTTTGTTCTGTTGTACACGGGGTCACTATGAGTCAGAGCCAACTTGACGGCACCTGCCAACAACAACAACATGTACAGAATTGTTGTTGTTAGTTGCTGTCAAGCTAGCTCCCACTCATGGTGACCTAATGTATAATAGGAAAAGCAACGCCTAGTTTTTTGTCACCCTTAAAACTATCGGTCTATTTGAGCCTATTTTTGAAGCTGTTGTGTCACTCTCTCATTACCAAATATGATGTCCTTTTCTACCTATTGATCTTTCCTGATGATGTACCCAAAATATGCTAGTTTTGCTATCCTTGCTTTTAAGGAGCATTCTGGGTGTACTTCCTCCAAAATTGATTTGTCTGTTCTTTGGGCAGTCCACGGTATGTTCAATATTCTTTACCAACCCAACAATTCAAATGTGTTAATTCTTCTTTGTTTTTCATAGTCCAGTTCATGCATACTTCTGAGGCAACTGAAAAGACCATGGCTTGGGTTTGGTGAAGTTATTCATCAAGGTGACATCTTTACTTCTCAACACTTTAATAAGCTCTTTTGTACTAATTTCCCCAATCCAATAAATCCTTCCTTTCTTGACTGCTGTTTCCATGAGCACTGATCTTTGATCAAAGTAGAATGAAGTCATTGACAACATCAGTTTCTTCATTTTTTTGTTATGATGTTATTTATCAGACGAATAGTGGGGATTTTTGTTTTCTTTATATTCACATGCAATACATATCAAAGGCTTTAGTCCATGATCTTCATCAGTAAGTACTTCAAGTAATCCTTATACAGAATAACACAGAATTATTCTATATTTATTATATTTTATGTACAGGTTATAAGTTAGCTGGAAATTTTTAATTAAGATTGTTTTTGTTGTTGTTATTATTGTGTGCCAGCAAGCCGATTCTGACTCATAGAGACCCTATAGGACAGAGTAGTACTAACCCATAGTATTTACAAGACTGTAATCTTTACAGAAGCAAACTGCACATCTTTCTCTTGAAGAGCACCTAGTGGATTTGAACCACAGACCTCTCAGTTGGCAGGTGAATGCTTATGACAATGCCACCAGTACTCCTTCCTATTAAAATTATATATAATTAATTAAGAAGAAAAAAGATTTTTCTCTCCTGACTGAGTGATAGGGTAGCCTTATTGGTTAGTCAACTTGTAAGGCCACTATGAATCATGGTGGTATTGACAAACCTGGAATTCATATGCAAAAAGTTTCATTTTATTTTTATTTTCTGATTACATATATCATAAAAATTGATTGTGAACAGAGTGTCCCTCAAAGCACTTCTCATTCTAGACACTTTAAAATTTCACTTCCACTTGTATATATATACAATATGTATATAGTGCCTAAGGCATCTGACTGCTAACCAGAAGGCTGGTGGTTCAAACTCACTGGCCACTCCTTGGAAGGAAGGTTGGGCAATCTACTTCCCTAGTGATACTGCCTCAGAAATCCAAGGAGGGGTTGCTATGCATCGGATCTGACTCAATGGCAGTGCATTTAGTGGGTATATAAATATATTCTCATACACAATTGCAAAAACAGTTACTTTATGCCCTATTGTGACAATAGTGATTTTTGAGGGCTGGGCATAGAAATATAAATTCAGTATCAAAGTTTGCAGATATACTTCCCATATCTTTCCTCTTACTTCAAGGTATTGAAAAAACTACATACCAAGATTTATCAGCTACTTTTTGTATGACATTCTAGACAAACAATACAACTAATGCCCACTTTTCTGCAAATCTTACTTTTCTCATGGCATAGTTCTTCAGGACTAGTTCCTAGAAGGTAAATCAACTGTTGATATGGTTCTCTTAATTAAATTTAGGGATCACCTCAAAAAAAGAAAAAAAAAAATCACCCATACTATATTTTTCTACCCTATTCATTAAAACATGGTATATATCTGCCAAATTTAATACAAATCATTCATAACATGTCATTAAAAAATGTTCTCAGGAGGAAAGCATTAAGCATGGAATTTCCAGTATTTTAGGAATCATGAGTGTGCCATCACCCTATGTTAGGAGGCATTTAGTAAAACTCTCCAGCCTGAAGATTTCAGGTTTTCACAGGAAAAAGGTCTGTTATAACGACAAATAAAATAACTTACTGCCCTAATTCAAATTATGTCCAGTGTTTAACAATCCATATGAATTTGTTCACTTGTGTAAATTTCTTGGAAAAATGAAAACAGTGTGAAAATAAAAATACATTTCACTGAGTGATTCAAAACTAACCATTTGCTGGCTTTTATTAAGATGGGTATTGTAACTAAAACAGAATCCTGGTTCTATATCTCTCAAGCAATCAAAGAAGATTATGTGCAAGAACAAAATGTTGTTTTGCAAACAGATTGCAAATGAAGGTAGAGAACATTTCTCTGAAAACATAGGACAAGCTTGCTTTGTTTAAGTAATGTAAACACAAACCTGGGGGTACCAATGATACCACTACAAGAGGGGTTCAGAGACAACTGCATTCTTACTAGCACATCTGAGCTAATTATAACTCCTTACTGGTCTGGCATTAATAAACATTCATAAGTAGCTCATGTCTATGGGTGATTCATATAATGCATACGATTGCATATGGAGTCTTTATAAAAGACTTCTTTTCCCCATTGAACATATGTATTCTCGGAGATAAATTACAAATTATATAACCACAGGATGCAAGCATCTATCTGATAGTACAGCAACCTATTTCAAAACAAGCAACACAGGCACAGAGCTTTTTTCCAGATGTATGAATGTTTGATAGCTTTGTAGTTTTAAACCCAGGAACAATGTTGCCATTATTGGAGACTGAGACTTACCAGTACTTGTAAGGAAGTTCACATTTCTCATCACACCTTCAGTGTAAGCTCCTGGCTCGAAACTGTCCATTTCACCAGTGACAATGTGAGCAACTCTGGCTGCCCGTCCTCTGATGGCACCAGCGGCACGGTCTAAATTATCAGCATCCTGGTCCCTCAAGGCTATAATGCATTTGTTGACGTCTTCCAGGATATGGCTCTCTGTAAGTAAACAGATCAAATTAAGGGTTTTTGTTCATTTATTTTTTTAATCACATAAATCTAACTACCATCTATATTAACTTATGATTTCAGAGGCAGTGCATGGCAGGAAAGGAGGATATTGGGAATTAAGAAGGAAAAATACAACCACAATATTGCTTATATTTTTTTCAAAGGCCAAAATCCATGAAATGCAAAATTTTACATTACTGAAGAGTAATTTTTATAGATCATGCATTATTTTAGATTCTAGTTCCATATAGATTAGCTTTTAAATTTGAGTGACATATGTTGTTGGTGTTGTTATGTGCCATCAAGTCTGACCCGACTCATAGTGACCCCTCCTTAGGTTTCCGAGGCAGTATCACTACGGAAGTAGATTGCCCAACCTTCCTTCGGAGGAGTGGCTGGTGGGTTTGAACCGCCAGTCTTCTGGTTAGCAGTCAAGTGCCTTAGGCACTATGCTACCAGAGCTCCCTGAGTGACATATAGGTGACTAAATAAAATTTCTAGATGAAAATAAAAACAATAGATACTGATGTTTGCTTGAATTCTGAATAAAAACAACTCTATAATCAGTTTAATTCTGACACAAACTGCAATTCAATCTTCTTAATCTAACTGCCAGAGCTAGGTCAGATCTCACAGGTAAAATGGTGCATTTTTACAGTTTGCCAAATCGGCCCAAGACTTTAAGACAGCAGCTGTAAGTTCATAGGATCCTAGGTCTCCTGCACTTCTGATCAACTGGCTATTAATTCGAAATTTCTTCAAATCTCCTCCTACTCTTTTCTCTTTGCATGATTAGGGATGAAGACAGCAGAAAGTTATTATTAAAGCACAATAATATTTTATTTCTCTATAAAGTGATTAATAAATAATACCAGATAAAACTTATCTAAGAAACTAAGAAAATATGTGACAGTATCAGTAGACATGACAATGATATTTCCTAGGATATTAAAAGGACACTAAAATATTAGTGTTTGGCTTCTGCCTTTACCATATGAATCCTCATCCAACACCTCTAAGTACTCTGTGAATTACTTAAAAACACGTACAGAAAATATCCACAACCCAAAGACCTCAATGATCCCAGAACATGCCATTAACTCTCTCACTTGCTCATTTTCTGCTTGAATATATATGTTGACTAGCTGTGTAAGGGCTACTCAACTAAAACTCACTGCCATCGATTCATTTTCGACTCACAGCAACCCCTCCTTGGGTTTCCGAGGCAGTATCTCTATGCAAGTAGATTCCCCAATATTCCTTCTGAGGAATGGCTGGTGGGTTTGAATCACCAGCCTTCTGGTTAGCAGTCAAATGCCTTAGGCACTCAGGCATTCATAAAGCAATTTCCTTGCAACGTACATCTTCCACTTATTGTTCAGAGAATTCAAAGTACCATAGAATATGATCCCTGCTGGCCTTTTTAGACTTGACCCTTATCATTCCTTTGCAAGTCTCTTATGGTATCCAAAATCTAACATGTTGTTCCATGACACTGTTCATGAGGAATAATAAGAATTTTGACCTTGACTATATATCTCTGTCAATCTATAAGTTCAACTCCTACTATTCTTTCAAGATACCAGTGAAATAGCTTTTCCTCAGGAAATCCATGCTGACCTATTCATTTGCTACAGGGAGACAAACTTGGTTCCATGTTTTTCAGTTTTCTATAAAATGTTATATATGCTTCTATCAGTTTCCTCCTGCATTGAAATGATGTACTTAAAAAAAAATTCTCTAGTAGATTGCTCCAAGGGTCAAAACTTTGTTTTATTCCCTGAGGTATCATAACTAGTACCTGTTATAGTACTTGGCACTTTCAGGCTCATGGACTGTTTGTTGAGTGAATGAATGAAGTCCTCTCAGAAGACACAATTGGAAACAATAAATTACTTTGTCTAAATCTTAAAACATAGATTATGAACACAGGTAGCCACATTTATGTGGCCCAAAATTCAATTTAATCCATATCAAAAACATTCAGGTTATTTACTTGGGAAAGGTTAAACACTGAAAAACTTTCCTTATAAATTCACTAGGGTTTTAACCAAATTTGTAGCATTCATTTATGAATGTATCATTAAGGTCTATAAAAAATCCAGGCACACTGGTGGAACCACTGAGACTATGACCCCTAGCTGCCCTTCAGGTCTGGAATTGAACCCATACCTGTGGTTTCAAGACAAACAAAATACAGGCATGTGAGTTAAACATTTACCTCAAGTAGATACACACCTTGGAGAGAACAATCATGGGAGAAAGAAGGGCTGCTTATTCACAGGCAGACAGCCCAGGGGGCAGGAGTGTATGGCGGGATGGACACTGGGAAGAGGTAACTATGGGGAGGAA